AAAGAAGGGCCATATGCACCCCGATGTTCATAGCAGCAATGTCCGCAATAGCCAAACTGTGGAAAGAGCCGAGATGCCCTTCAACAGATGAATGGGTAAAGAAGATGTGCTCCATAGATACAATGGAGTATTACTCAGTCATCAGAAAGGATGAATACCCAACTGTTACATCAACATGAATGGGACTGGAGGAGATTATGCTAAGTGAAATAAGTCAAGCAGAGAAAGTCAATTATCATACGGTTTCACTTCTTTGTGGAACATAAGGAATAGCATGGAGGACATTAGGAGAAGGAAGGGAAAAAAGAGGGGGGGCAGAATTGGAGGGAGAGATGAACCATGAGGGACTATGGACCCTGAGAAACAAACAGGGTTCTAGAGGGGAGCGGGGAGGGGGGATTGGTTAGCCCGGTGATGGGTATTAAGGAGGGCATGTACTGCAAGGAGCACTGGGTGTTATACGAAAACAATGGATCGTGGATCACCACATCAAAAACTAATGATGTATTGTATAGTGACTAACATAACATAATAAGATTAAAAACGGGTATTCTGAAAAAAAAAAATTTATAGGTAAAAGTTTATAAAACAACTGAATATACTCATTTCCCAGAACTGCAGACAATAAAACTAAGTGTATGGGCGCCTGGGTGGCTCAGTCGTTAAGCGTCTGCCTTCGGCTCAGGTCATGATCCCAGGGTCCTGGGATCGAGTCCCACATCGGCCTCCCTGCTCTGCGGGAAGCCTGCTTCTCCCTCTCCCACTCCCCCTGCTTGTGTTCCCTCTCTCGCTGTCTCTCTTTGTCAAATAAATAAATAAAATCTTTAAAAAATAATAAAAATATAAACCTTCTGCACAGTGATGGAAACCTAAAAGGCAACCTACAGAATGGGAGAAGATATTTGCAAATAACCTATCCAATAAAGGGTTAGTAGCCAAAATATATAAAGAACCCCTACAACTCAACACCAAGAAACAAATACTCCAATTTAAAAATGGGCAGAATACATGAATTGCCATTTCTCCAAAGATATACAGATGGCCAACAGACACATGAAAAGATACTCATCATCACTTATCTGAGAAATGCCAAGTCAAAACTACAATGAGATATCACCTCACACCTTTCAGAATGGCTAGAATGAACAACACAAGAAGATTTGGAGAAAGGGGAACCGTCTTGCACTGTTGGTGGGAATGCAAACTGGTGTAGCCACTCTGGAAAACGATATGGACGTTCCTCAAAAAATTAGAAATAGAACTACCCAATGATCCAGCAATCACACTACTAGGTATTTACCAAAGAAATACAAAAATACTAATTCAAAGGAATACATGAACCTCTATGTTTATAAGTAGCATTATCTACAATAAACAAATTATGGAAAGAGCCCAAGTGTCCACCAACTGATGAATGGATAAAGAAAATGTGCTGTATATATATAGTGGAATATTACTCACCCATAAAAGAATGAAATCTTGTTTAAAATGACATGGATGGAGCTAAAGAGTATTACGCTACTCAACATTAACTCAGAGAAAGACAGATACTATATGATTTTGCTCACATGTGGAATGTAAGAAGCAAACAAAATGTAACAAATGAACATAGGGAAGAAAAAAGAGAGGGGGGCAAGCCATAAAACAGACTCTTAGCTATGGAGAACAAACTGGTAGTTAGCAGAAGGGTGGTGCGTGAGGGGGATGGGTGAAATAGGTGATGGGGATTAAGGAGGGCTAATGTATGGAAGTGTTGAGTCACTATATTGTACCCCTGAAGCTAATATTACACTGTATGTTTAACTGGAACTTAAAGATTTAAAGAAAAGAAGACAACCCAGTTAAAAACTGGGCAAAGGACTTGAATAGACATTTTCCCAGAGGATATAAACAAATAGCCAACAACCACATGAAAAGATGCTCAACATCATTAATCATAGGACAGTGCAAATTAAAATCAGAGTGAGATATCACAACAAACTCATCAAATGCCTTAAAGTAATTGACAATACCAAATGGCTGCAAGATGCAGAGAAACTGGATCACTCATCCACCACTAGTGGGAATGTAAAATGATACTGCCACTGTGATAAAACAGTAACTGCACTCCTGGGCATCCATCCTAGAGAAATGAAAAACTGTTCATACTAAAACCTGTCCACAGATTTTTTTAGCAGCTTTATTTGTAATAGCCAAAAACTGGAAACAACCCAGATATCCTTCAAGAGGTGAATGGTTAAACTGGTAATCTGTACAATGAAATAGTACTCTGCAATAAAAAGGAACAAACTGTTGATACAGCAACAGCCTGAATGAATATCCAGAGAATCGTGCTGAACCAAAAATGCCAATACCAAAAATTGTATACTATATGGTTCTATTTACATAACATTTTGAAATAAAATTATAGGAAAAGAAAGTCGATTAGCGGTTGCCAGAGGTCAAAGAGAGGGTGGCTGAGAGAGAAATCAATGTGGCTCTAAGAGCAAATAAAGGATTGTCATAGTGAAGGAAATGTTCTTCTCTGTGTTGACTGTGTCAAGTTATATTGTTTTGCAAGATGTCACCAGTCACCATTGGAGGAAACTGAGTAATGGTACAAGAGATCTTTCTGTATTTTGTACAGTTGTGTGTGAATCTATAATTGTCTCAAAATAGAAAAAATTTTTAATATAAATGAAGGGTTTATGGGGACATACATTGTTCCCTGCATTATGTGTTCTAGACTGGGTGTTTTGTGTCTTTTGCTGATTTGTTCTATTTCTTGCTATGGTGCCTTTGCTTAGTTGTCATGCTGTTCTTTTGCTCATGCTCATGCTCTGTCCAGATTTTCTCATTGCTGTGGTAGAGCACAAAGAAAATTCTCCTTGATCTCTTCCCACCTTATCTGGAACTAATTTATCTTGTCCTTAAGAGCTGCAGGCACTGCATTTTGGTCCACTGCTCTGTAGACCAAAGGGGTGGAAGCAAGCAGGGAGGAGACTCCTCTGGGGTAAATGCAGCCCTTCCTCAAGAACCAATATTCTGTTCATCCTTCTGATCTCATTAAGTGTCCTAGACATAGTTCACTCCTCCCCTCCAAGGTACATCCCACTCTATGGGCTTAGGGTTAGTCCCTCAATTTAACATAGTGCCCTGAAAGATTCTGCACCCTGGAAGCCCTCCTGCCCTCTGCTTAAGTCTCAGCGAGCTCTATAGGAGCTTCTATTGGAGTTGTCCTTGACTTGTCCCCACTAATATGCTATCACTAAATTGAAGTTTTTAATGAAGTTCTAATAGTCTCACTCCCACGGCTATTTCTGAGAAGTAGGGTTAGGGGTAGTATTAGCATACATGGGAGTGTTTCTTTTTCCAACTGCTCCTTTTCAAAATATTTGGTTTAAATTTGTAACCCCTTTTATTGTTTAGTTGTGGCTGAAAGTCTTTTAGTAGTTCTGTTTTGTCATTATTTTTGTTTATGATATTAGAGATTTGAAGGAGAAATAATCTGTGAATCTGCTTTATGCAGTACTTTAATGGAATTGTCAATTATTTTATAATTATGAAAAGCAGGTGTTTTTCAAATATTTCTAATATTCAGCAAAAACTCAAAGGCCTTCTGGCTTTAATTCTCTCAGTCCTGCTTCATTAAAAAAGGCCTCGAGGGGCACCTGGGTGGTTCAGTCAGTTAAGCGTCTGCCTTTGGCCCAGGTCATGATCCCAGGGTCCAGGGATCAAGTCCCACATCAGGCTCCCTGCTCGGGGGGGCGGGGGGTCCTGCTTCTCCCTTTCCTTCTGTCTGCCGCTCCCCCTGCTTGTGCCCTCTCTCTGTCAAGTAACTAAATAAAATGTTAAAAAATCATGCCCGAGATCACATTTTGAAATAGTATTTATTTCACTATTCTAAGCTCTCTTTTTGGATTGATCTAAGATTTTGTTTCCTGCTGAAGTCCATCTTGAGTATTTTAGCCCTTATTGTTTTTCTCTTGCTTGAGCAGAGACAGTTATAGAATAGTATTATGCCAAGTAACAGATAGGATTCTTCCACCTTTGTTGTTGTTGTTACAAGAATCTTTATGGATATTATCCTAAAGAATTCCAGGTTACAGGGTCCATTTTTGTTCTTGGTTATAATTACTTGAAATTATTGTATCTTTTTTTTTATAGGAACCAACAGTGAAAGAACCTGAAATTACCACAACCCTTCAGATACATTTCTTTGGAAAAAAAGGAGAAAGAAAACTTCATTATCAGGAATTTCGAAGGTAAATGCAAATATTTATATTCATTTAAGAAAATTTGAGATTTGGAAGGGATGGCGGAGGAGTAGGGGACCCTATTTCAACTGGTCTCCAGAATTGAGCTGGATATCTACCAGACCACTCTGAGCACCCACGAAACCAACCTGAGATGTAAGAAGATCTGGATCTCTACAAACAGAATATCACAGGCGGTTGGTTTCGAGGTACGAAGCGGGGAGCCGTGATTCCGGGGGCAGATATCGGAGGATAAACAGCAGCGGGAGGGTGCCTGGCCGTGGGGACCCTACACCACCGGTGAGTGACAGCCTCGCATGCTGGGGACGGGGCACAGACTGGCAGACCAGTAGGGTGGGGAAAGGACTTTAGGGCAGCCCCTGGGGCAGAAACCCAGAGCGGTGGGGTCGTGTGTGCAGAACTGGGAGTGGCTGGCGGTTTTAGAAGCACAAAGGGCAGAGACGGGCGACCTGGAGGCAGGACTGGGGGCGCTGCAGAGGGGCCCACAACCCAGGCCGCTGCAGTTTATAGCAGCACGGACAGAAACGGAGACGATGTGGCCTGGAGAGCTCACTGAAGAACAGACTACGGTCTCTCTACTCTGAGGCAGAGGGTTGGAAACGGTCTCTTCTGCTCTGACTCTTGGAAGAGACGCAGAAAGCCTCCAGGGAAAGCCGCCAGAGAACAAAAGCTGCAGAAACTGATTCCCGCTGAGCCCATCCCCGGCCACGAGGGGGCAGGGCAACTCCTCCCAAACAGGGCTGCCTGAGTAACAGCACGGCAGGCCCCTCCCCCAGAAGACAGGCTGGGAAAACAAGAGGCCAGCAACCCTAAGGTCCCAAGAAAACAGGTGCATCTTGCTTGGGTTCTGGTCAATAATTTGGACTCGATACATTCCCTCAAACACCCATCAACAGAATGACTAGGAGGAGGAGCCCCCAAAATAGAAAAGACTCAGAGATTATGACTTATGCTGCAGATTTACAAATGGATGCAGATATAACCAAGATGTCGGAGATGGAATTCAGGCTACCAATTGTGAAGACAATGGCTAGAATGAGAAATCAATTAATGGCAACATAGAGTCTCTAAGGGCAGAAATGAAAGCTGAATTGGCAGAACTTAAAAATGCTATCAGTGAGATCCAATCCAATCTAGATAATCTAATAGCTAGGGTAGCTGAGTCAGAAGAACGAATAAGCGACCTGGAAGACAATATAATAGATAAAAAGGGAAAAGAGGAGGTCAGGGGAAAACAACTCAGAATCCATGAGAATAGAGAAATAAGTGACACCATGAAGCGTTCCAGTGTCAGAATAATTGGAATCCCAGAGGGAGTGGAGAGAGAGAGAGGACTAGAAGATGTATTTGAGCAAATCGTAGCTGAGAACTTCCCTAATCTGAGGAATGAAACAAACGTTCGCATCCTAGAGGCAGAGGACCCCTCCCAAGATCAAGGAAGACAGGCCAACACCCCGGCATGTAATAGTAAAACTTGCAAATCTTACAACCAAGGAAACCATCTTAAGGGCAGTTAGGGGGAAGAGATTCCTTACGTACAGAGGGAGGAACATCAGAATAACATCAGACCTATCCACAGAGACCGTTGGTCCAAAACCTATGGGATACTGCAAAGGCGGTCCTAAGGGGGAAATACATAGCCATCCAAGCCTCACTCAAAAAAATAGAAAAATCCTGAATTCACCA